TCAGATAAAACACACATGAACAGCAAAGAAATTATGATGAACAAGATTCTAGATTTCCACAGAAATCAAGTTTCCAGTGCCCGATAGAAGAAAATCAACTCAAAAACATTCCTTAACAACTGCTATACTTCAGTATAACCACAGATTTGTTTTAAGTAAAATTTTTTTTCTGTCGTCCAAATCACTGCAGCAGGGGTGGCAGATTCAGTTTGCACAATTACTTGTTTGTATCCCTATGTTTAGAATAGTCTGATATTAAAATTGCTGAAATGTATGACATTAAATAAAAAACACGGTACTAAACTGAATTTAAATTGGAATGACAGACTGAGCTTTGTTGGGTTTATATTTACTAAGCCTAACTAATAAAATACAGCTCACATTATATTTTCATAATCACATTTCCCTCAAAGAGAACATCATGAACGTACCTCAACAGCCGAACTGAACCCAATAGGATAGATAGTGTAAACTCCACTAGCTTGGCTGTTATCATAGTTATAGATAGTTATAGATGACAGGCTGAGCTTTGTTGGTTTTGTAAGCCTACGTAACAAAATACATCTTTCATTAGAATTTCTTGATCATATTCCTATCAAAGAAAACATCATCAACGTACCTCAACAGCAGAAGCGGCCCTAATAGGATAGATAGTGTAAACTCCACTAGCTTGGCTGCTATCATAGTTATAGATGTCGCTGCAATCTAGAGGAAGCACAAGAGGCGATACGCTGTCCCATAGAGGAAGCAGGACAAGAAAGAGAGACACCTGCAGCTGAAACAAAGGATATTTAAGTAGGTTATTTACCAGTAGTTAAACTTTAATAATTTGGATCTTTACAAGACAAGAATAGGAACATAATAATAATAATGCCACATTTGTCTTAAACCGTAAGAAATTTTACAGATTTTGTGAAACATTTTCCTCATTTGTAAAATGTGATAGAAACTGCTGGTATTGTTTGCTAAGGAAGAATAATTAAACAGTGCAGAGTAAACATAATTAAGGCTGTCAAAATACTACAATGTAGGACCAATACTTATGATAGGAGAAATTTCAATGCAATTTTAAACCCCATTTTTAAAGGAAAATTTACTTCTGCCTAAAAACATAAATATTGTTATTTACAATATGAGACATTTAACTACAATTACTGAATCAGGGCAAAACCATTTTCAATGGCAATAGAACTGTTGGAATCACATCCCGCACCATAAGGTCTTAGAGAAAATACTGTATTTTTACCTCAACAAGAAACCTAGCAGCTATCAGGACAGACTGCAGCTTGTGTATCACACTGAAGTTAGAGTTGAGGATCCCTTCATTCATCTGCTTCAACTAAGTCAATGTCATTAAGACAAGGCAGAGAGGACCGTAATGTGTCGTTATCTTAGCGCTTGTTACTGGCTTAATTATTCATTCCATTCACCTGTCTAGCTCAGTCCATTTTTTTGTTACCGTTCATCTGATCCACCGGCTCCTGCATCATTTTAAGCTGGCTGCTAACAGTCATCAGAGCCAGGTTATTTCCCTTAAACCAGTGGAGAAGAGTGTTTTACGCGTACCTTAGTGTTTCTGATTACCTGATCCTGTTCTGCCTCTCAACCACTGGGCCTGTCTTTTCCTGTTCTGAGCCATGTGTCTGACCTGGCTTCGGACTCCTGGATCTCTGAGCCTGCCAGTTCGTGTTCGATCTGTTTGCCTGACCTGTCTTGGGACTCCTGCTTGTTATCAGTTCTCCGGGGCTACAGTACACCATCTGGGACAGTCTGGGCAGCGCCCATTGCATCTTGTTGGCAGCCCACTGGCTGGTTCCTACCTAATTCTCTGGGCACGGACTGAACTTGTAAACCAGGTTAGTGACTCACATTTATAATCTTCCTCCGTAAGATTTACGTGGTCACTAACCTGTGTTTCCTCTCTGCAGGAAACACTTTTATTAAGTATTCCCTACTGGGTCCTCTGTTCTCAGCCTTGACAGTGATGATCATGTAATTTTATTTCTCAAAATATTTTTTTCTTTTGGTTTTCACCTGGAAAACAGACTTGAGTGGACATTCAACTGTGAAGCTGTCTACAAGAAGGGAGGTAGCAGACTGTGCTTTTTAATGAAGCTCATGTCCTTCAGTGCTTGCAAGAAGGTGCTGCAGATCATCATTAGATCTTTTCTGGAATGTGTGATCTCTTTAGCCATAAGCTGCTAGGTGGTAGCATCATAGTAAATATCATGAAGAACTTTACCAAGCTAATGAACTCATTTCTCTGTTTGACCTTGTTGAAATCTGATGTCAGTGATGTAACGGAAGCAACTCCCATCTAAATTCATCCCCCTGTGACGGAGTTTATTCAAAGAGCCAGCTCCTATTATATTTCCTGTTGCCAGTGGCCGAGTAAGGCTAGACACACCTGTTCTCAGCTGAAAGTTACGCTAAGTAGCAACCGATCCATCTTTGCTTGCTGATCAAGACAGGATACCTTTTTTACAATTCATAAGGGGCAGTTGGTAGTGACCATCTTTTCTTATGATTTATACCAAGTTGAACACATTGTTTCGTTAACCGGACTAAGCAACCTGTCTGAAGAGCCTAAAAGCCTAAAAAAAGCCAATTCATGTCTGGCTACTTTGTAGCGCCCATGTTGTGAGCTCTAAATTTTCCCTTGTTTCAGCTTTACCTGCACAAACTATATCTCCTGGGACCAGCTAAACTTACCCATTCTCTTTCAGCTTCATTACAGATTAATGCATTTTTGTTCATTTTTCACTGTAAAACCTAATAAAACTCTACTGATTTGACTGCATTCAACATCTTTGCATCAGGGTTCATTCACATTTATCTGCAGCTATTTTTAAAGAACACCTTAACTGCATTAAGCCTTAAAAGTTAAACATACATAAGGCACTCTTGAATACCTTTTGAACCTGTTTTTCCCTATTTATTTACTTGTGCCTATTTTCAGTAGTGTTTAGTTTGCGTAGTTATTAGATATAATAATACTGTGTGATTATTAGCTAATAAAGATAGCATTGTATTTTAAGCAGTTATCTTTTGTGGTTATTTTACACACTGAACGCTTTATCACTCAGGTCAGATCCTTTAAGTAACATCTGAATGAACAGAGACAGATTTCTTTGGTTGGTGATTAATAACTCTGGTGATAGACATAGTCCATATTACTGAATTGGTGAAGACACCTTGAACATAACAGTTAAACAAGGTGTCCAACCTCTTTTGTAATGACTAAGAACCCTGGAGAATAAGCAAATTACAGTTATAGTCATGGAACTAATACTCATTAAGTTGTTTTTACCCTCAATTTGAATAACCCACTAATTAACTATAACTTCCACATCTAGGTATTTAATAAAATCATAATCTTCTGGTAAACTTTCACAACACTTGTGATATTCAAAAGCTTTTAATCGGAGATGGCTGTGGTGTCAAATTACACTTCCTCCCTGCAAAATCATTTTGTTGATCTGCACCACACTCACCATGGCTAAAATGAGTGTAAGCATTAATAATTTGCGTTTCTGTGGCACCCAAATCGTAGGCGGCCCACATTTAGTGTGTGCCTGGTATTACTGATTACTCGAGTTTCTAAAAATAGAATGGAAGGCAGATCTTTTACTTTTCAAACTTCACTCCTGTGCAACCAACCAACAATTTTAGTCTGTGAGGGATACAATCTAAAATGTCCCTCTTGATAAAGCTTACTGTGAGTAACCTAGGCTATCATGAAATATGGCAATGTTTCTATGACCAGGGGTCAGCTACCTGTGACTCCAGAACCTACGACTTGCAGCTCCCTGGAACTTTTTCAAAAATTTATGGAAATTAAAAAAGCTTAATTATTATAAATTTTTTTTGGTTTGTTTTAATATGGGCTGCTCAGTGGCACAGTGGGTACCACTGCTGCCTTGGAGCAATAAGCTTCCGGGTTCCATTCCCAATCCAGGTTCTTTCTGCAAGGAGTTTGCATGTCCAAAAACATAACGTTTGGTTTACTGGCTTCTCTAAATTCTCCTTAGTTGTGAGTGTTTGCATGAATGGTTGTTTATCCTGTTTGTCTCTGTTTTGCCCTGCGATGGACTGGCCACCGGTCCAGGGTGTACCACAGCCCCTTAACCGTAGACACCTGGAAATAGGCACCAGCACCCCACGTGATCCCGCTTGGGATAAGTGTGATGGATGGATGGATGGATGGATGGATGGATGGATGGATGGATGGATGGATGGATGGATGGATGGATGGATGGATGGATGGATNGATGGATGGATGGATGGATGGATGGATGGATGGATGGATGGATGGATGGATGGATGGATGGATGGATGGATGGATGGATGGATGTGTATAATAAATACATTTAAACAATAAATGTAAACATTTATGTCGAAAAAGATTTGCGTTATAGCCTGCAACACATGATTTGGTGCAGCTGCGGATGTGTCTTGGATCATGGTCCCAAAGTTAAAAAAGGAAGATACAGGGCTGTTAATCTCACCCATTGGGTGTGAGATTTAAGCATCTCAGAGTCTTCCCACGCTCTCACTCCATATCCCCAAATTTTCTGGCAAATAAATGACGGACATTAAAACTCAACTCCATTCCACTTATTTATATCTAAAATTACCATGCTGATAAAAATACAGTCCGTGTTTTTAATACAACATTAATACTAGCACATGAGGACATGCCAGGCTGATACCTAGTGTGTATTTTTTCACCAGCCCAACTATTCACTGTGATGACAGCAGCTGATATAAAAAAGACCGGGATTTCTAAGCAGTTACTACTGCTAAATTTTTGTATTATCTCACCTGAACAAAGATAATTCTCTTTGTCAATGATTGAAGATTTTAAGCAATCTTGCACTTGAGCAAATATATATAATTTATCAATGTGGAGACTGAGTGTAGGATGACATCAAATGGTATGGTTTTTCTTTACCTGGGGCTTGTTTTTAGTCCCAGTTTGAGTCCATGTTTCGCTCACAAATAAAATAATTATTGCTCAAGCTAGTTGAATAATCTCCCATTGGAATTTAGGAGGTTCACAAAAAGATAAAAGAACCTTTCAAAAGATCAGCCACCCAAGAAAGGAGTACCACATACAGAGTGCAGAACAACTCACTTATCCAGCATTGATAGAGGAGGAACGAGAGGGATGTTCTCATTTTATTATTACTTATCCTATTCATTTATCCTTATTTTGGTCCATTGAATATGTTTAAAAACTTAATTTCTATCACACCTTCCAGAATGAAACATCCAAAGAAGAGCTGTCTTGTGCCATGGTAAGTTTTAATAAAATATACAACCTCCTACAAGGTCTGAATTGTTTAGCTGTTTTGTCAATTGTAAAAAAAAAAAACAAAAAAAAAAAAAAACTAATAACATAATGAGTGAAGGTTTTTAATCATTAGCCTATTACAAAATAGTCATACACATTGTAGTTTGCAATGGAGTCGATTGCACTGGTATATGCATTAGTGCCAGTAATCCAGTACTAGCTTAATAGTTCCCCATTTTATATTTTACATGAACTGTACACAATAATAAATTAACAAAATTTTGAAATACTTAGTTTACAGTATATTTAAGAAGCAAATATTTTACCAGGACCCATTATTCTTACATTCTCTGAAAAACACCAGAATATAGAAAATAATTTATATTGTGAAAAAATGTTTCCACATAACTACAGATAACTTATTGTCACTCAGTAAAATCTCCTGTTCTATCTAAAATTCCACGCTTTGCCTCTCCAAGGTTTGATGAAAAGATGGCAGCCCTGAAGATAGCTGATCAGAACAGAGGTTTCAAAGAAGATGGACCGAATCATTTGCTTTCATTACCAACGCAGAAGGATTTCCTGCATGTCTGCTTTGTAATGAGAAGTTGTCCAATGCAAAGGCATTTCCACAGAAGGACTTGGCTGACCACTAAGTTGGGAGTGAAAGAAAAACTGTGATTGCAGCACTTCTGGATAAATTAAAGGGGTGCAAAGATACATTTAAGAAGTGGATTGCATCTCCAAACTCCACTACGGCTGCTATTTCTTTTTTTTGCAAGCATGGTTCACTCTGTTCATAAAAAGAGCAGGTATAGCGCTCTTATGCAGGTATGTGAACTTTCTTCCACTTTTTTCCCCAAATACTTAAAATAAGAATTACACCAAAAACATAATTCTTCATTGTGTTTCTATAATTTCATTAATGCAATAAATAAATAAAAAAAAAACAATACATTATAGTGCAATGGAATTTGAACTTAAAGCACCAAATATTGTAGTCACATGATGTGACATTTGCTCCAGGATAAACATTTAATAATGAATGCCTATTACTTTTTTGCGGCTCCATACAGATTATTTTTTTTGGTCCAATATGGCTCTTGTTTGGGTTGCCGACCCCTGCTATAGACATACCAAACATCTTAGCGTGTGAATCCCCTCTAATGTCTTGATTGAGGTCTCTTATCCCACCCCTTGAAAGCTGAGATAATGGAATATCTTACTTAATTTTTTCCCATATTTGTAATGTGTTTGTAAAAATCAAGAAAAAACTGTTTGCTCTTTAAGGTTAAGCATTAATTAAATATTTCAGAAAAAGGAACAGTTTTTCTGTTTTTTGTGACTCATTTACAGTCATTGATTTTAAATAATATTTTGTAAAACAAAAAACCAAGAGATGTGAATTGATGAACTCACCTTCATGATATTAGCTGTCCTGTAGTACAAGTTGCACTGTAGGAATGAAAAATGTCAGCTTGAGTTTTTTAGATT